AAGCACTGTGGTACGTATAATTGACAAACTTCATGAGATTTTATGCCCCAGGATTCCTAAAGCAGTGTAAGTACTCAAGAGTTTCTAGTTTCAAAGTATTATTTTGCTTTATCAGAATCTGAATACTTACTGTTTTGATGCACTTATGAAGGATAGATTCATGAATAAGATCAAGCTTGCCAAGTTCTCCAATGAATTTGATGTTCCCCAGCATCTTGATCTTGGCAATGGCTCTCTGTTCCTCCTCCTCAGGGAGGAGGGGACCATCATGCTTATCATAGACTGGAAAACAAGGAAGCCTGTTAAACATGGCTGCGAAAACAGAAGAGAAGCAAGTTCTACATTAAAGTGCTTTTATAACTTACTATCAACATTTCTGGTTCGGTTTTCAAATTCATCTTGAAGTTTAGATATTAAGAGGCGTCTGAATGTCTGAACAAAAGAGAACAAAGACAAAAGAATAAAGAAACAAGTCAGTGCAACTAGCTATGCTAATAAAACTTGGCATTTCAGGTTGAGAGAAAAATATGCTTACTGTGCTTTGCTTCTGCCCTGGATGACTCTCTGCTGATGGGCCATCAAAGTTGGGTGCATCTTCTGCTAGTCGCAGACATAGTTGAGCATACAGCGAGCTATACTTGGGCTCTTCAAGGGCTTTGTCTACGATCTGAATAAAGACGTTTCCAGTAACGCAGTGAAAAACACCACTCTATCTGACCCAAAACATGTAAGTACGTTCTGCTACTCCATTACTGCAATACTACTTTTAAAAATCCATTATTTCCTCTATGCATAACGCAGGATTCTTAACGCTGAAGCATGAAGAACGAACTACTCTGGGCTACTGAAGAGCTTCTATGATTTTAACCAAAGAAAACGGTAGTTCAAGTTGAGCATCATAGCATATCCCAGTTCTTGTCATTTTCTTTTCTTTTTCTTTTTTTTTTTTTAAACATGACATCAGGTCGATAAGATTATTTTAACCAATGTATGAAGAGATCACTGCGGTTGCTTTTCAAAAGCAATTAGGCTTGATCAGTCAATAAATGGGGGATGGGGAAGAGAAAAAAGGAGGATTGGAACCTAATGTCTCAAGGTTAAGAAAAAGGTTTATACTGTTTAAGAGTTCCAGATCTAAAATGGGAACTTAGTCTATCCCCCTTGCCCCTCCCCAATATACCCCACTTCCACAACTGGAGGAAATGGTATTCCTCTATTTGTTTGGATTATTAAACACTCAATCAGCCACATGACTCTTGTGCCCCAACCTAAGAATAGCCAACCTCTGTTCTTACCACGTAAAACTGCATTAACGACAACAATAAGCCAAGCCACCACACACAGCCAGCCAACTTACCAGCAGTATGACCCCTTTTAGGATGAGCTTAGACTCTACACCCACATTGAGGAGCTCAAGGCATAGCTTGTCAAACTTTTCAGGAGTAAGCTTATTTAGTATGCTAAAAAAAACACAAAATACACACAAACAGATTACAAATCTTGCAAACATGGTACAAATAATTCTTCATTTTAGGTAAGACCTTTTTTCTCTTTAGGCAAGCTACAAAGATAAAAGGAAGCACAAGTCTTCCATTCAACCGACACTGCAGTGTGTGTTTGTTTCCATGTGTTACCATGCAGAAAACTGATTCTCTCCGAAGAATGACTTTTCATGGCACACAGCAAGTGTTTGCTACTAGTGGTCCATTGGTTTCTGCCTCATTCCAAATCAAAAGGAAAAAAAACTCCCAAAGAGCTCCCAGACTTTCATGCTTTCCTTCCATATTTATAGAAGGACTACATCTTCAGAGATCTTACCCTCTTACTTTCCTGAAGATTGCATCATGTCGTTCTTTGTCATTTGCGGAGTCGTCATCTCGTCTAGTGCTTCGTGAAGGAATCCATTTCTGAGCGTTTTGCCCTGGGGTTTTCCCCAGGAACTCGCTGTAAAGTTTTGAAGAACATGTTTGCTTAAACAAACAAACAGTTTTAAGAACTGTCATTTTTCACCATTCAGTATTGCTTTACCCAGACAGTAATTCCATTACTGATTGTGATAACAGCACACACCTAATCAGCCCTAGCAACACTGTAACATCTATTGCATAGTGAAATAGTCACTGAACAGTTGGAGAAAAACCACCACACAGAACATCACAACCCTTTCTCTAAACCTTAGAGAAGCAAAACACATGAAACAAAAACACAGTTCACTTGGTACCATGACACAAACAAGTTCAGACACACCAAATGACATAAAGTTAATTTATCATTCCCTATGACCGTTCTCTGCCTTAAAAGCCCATTCCCAGAGTAAGATTAAATACCTGTTGCTGGCAGTCTTGGGATAGTGCTGAGGTGCACCCCTACCACCTCCTCCGCCCGAAGAAGCACTGTGAAAACAATCAGGTAGTTTTGCGTAAGTTCAAAATGCTAATATTTTCAACTACGCATCAGTATTGGAATTATTACTCCTTTACCTAAGGTGAGAAAAAAATTTAAGCTTCCTTAGATAGTTTCCACTGCCAGGTGTTAATCAAACCAAGAAAGCACTAGTACCTGAAACGAGAAGCACCCCCTTCTGCAATCGCACTCTCCACTTTGGCGGCTTGACAACGAAGAATCTTCAAAAGAATAAAATTAAATTGACGGGGTAGGGAAAAACAAAACCTAGAAAGACAAATCAAGCATTGATATTACAGTTGTTTTACTAGCAACCATAGTATTTTATTTAAAGCATTTCCCATCAACAAGAATACACTAGTGCAGCCAAATGTTTGTTGGTGGCAGGGGGAGAGAACACCAAACACTAAACCTGGCAAAAGACAAGAAAACTGTTATTTGTTCAATACCCAGGATACCAATAGGAAGCCTAAATTAAGTAATCACTACCATGTTTTCTGAACCAGGGCAGGGGGGAGGGGAGGGATGGAAGGACTAAGTCCAAAAAATGCCTTAACAAACTCTTTCTCCTAGGTCAAACCCAAAAACTCGTGTATGATGCTGCATTCAGCAATAACTCTTATCGTTATTTTTTAAACGGCCAATCATTTTTATGCTTATACAACGTAGCTAAGCGAGCCCTTTACTGTTATACCTAACTACTTTCAATTATGGCAACACTAAGCGTAAACACCTGTTTTAAGGTGAACAGCACCAAGTCACAAACCGCATACTTAACGCAGTCAAGAGGACTTATCCCTCACGAGCAATGGAGGGAGAACTAAGCTACTAAATTAAAGAGGGAGGGGGAACAACCTCCCCCACTAGTTTTGTCTTGCAAGATAACAAAGAGATTCGCTGTGCTATTGCCACAGAAAGGTAGTGACAGTGCTAAGAGACGCCTGAGGAGCCGAGGGGGAAACCTCGGCCTTGTGAGGCTCCACAGATCAGCTCCGAGACGTTATCGCGCTGAGGGAAGACGACGGCGGCAGCCCGAGC